CTGAAACCGTTATTCAATCAATGTAAAATCACATTATAAATATCATGAAATAATTTATACTATCAAAACCCAACTTGTAAATATAATACCAATAAGTAATAAATTAATTTAAAACATGTCTTCAAAATCAAAATCATGATAAACCAAACAGTAATAGCAAAAGTGTCATCATCATAAAATACAATACTTTAAAATAAGGTCCATGTCACCAAAATAAAGTCAACTTGCAAGATAAAACATTACAATCAGATATACTTCAAGAGATATGTTGATCCTCCAAGTGCTCGAACCGAGATATCTAACCAACAGTATCTGAAAGGAAAAAAAACATTTTCGAAAGGTGAGCTAGGCTCAGTGTGTCCTAATATTACCTTAAAATCACAATAGGTACATTAAACAAATCATAGTCCAGTAAATCTCATAAATTCATAAAAGAGTTTAACTTTTGAAAATCATAGTTTAAACCCTTTTCTTGTACACCATCAGTAGTTCCTAAAACTATTTTCCATATAGCTTACTTTAAGCACACAACAAAAAGAAAGCCAACCTAAGGATAAGCTTTAGAGCTTGTATCCTTAGGCCCGTAAGTCCAATTCCATATAGCTTACCCTAAGCACACAGCAAGGGAAGCCAACCTAATGTATCTTGGGGCCCCAAGAGTCACATTAGGCTCATTCTGTTTATTAGCTTGATCAGAGCTATACTATTGTAATTCAATCCAAAAGTTCAATTGTACCGTGACACAAATTCCATAAATCATTACATTAAATTAGTGCATCAATAAAACAATAACCAAAGAACTCAGTGTACCTCGTATTAAAACCAATAAAACAGTTCAGTAATAATTAGGGAACACACCTCGATAATAGGTTCAAATAGTAAATCTACTGATTGCTGGTTTCACCACGCTCTGCTACAGTTTTCGAACCTATTTTATAATAACACTATATTACTTATGGGTAACATAAATAAATCTCTAAAATCATAAAATTTACGGGTCTTACGGGTGAATACTGGCACACGTGGTTTAATTGATCTAGAAGAGCTGGGTCGAGCTGTCGAACGATCCGGAGAGTCTCTTGTACCTTCAAACAATAATAATTTATCAGCCCCAAATCTCACTTAATTATTCAAAGCTAAATTCTTAAGTATATAAGCATTTTCAGGATTTGACTATCAATTTGGAGGATTTCGGGTTTGAATTTGGCCAAAAGGATTGCGGAATCGGAATCAGGACGTCGAAAAACATAAAGTATGTCTTTTCAAAAATTTAAATTCTTGGTCAAAGTCAAATTCAACGACTTTGACCGTCGATTTGGAGACCTTCGGGTTCGAATTTGACGAAACGGATTCTGAACGTCGAAAACTATCAGAATAGGTATACTCGAAAACGATTAACGGTCGTTTAATGGTCGGGTAAAGCCATTTTAAGTTTTGGTCAAAGGAGGTCAACGGTCACGGTCAACGGTCAACGATCGGGTCGGGTCAACGGTCGGGTCAGGTCGGATCGGGTCGGTCGGGTCGGGTCGGTCGGGTTGGGTCGGGTCAAACCGGTTTTCCAGCTTCTCACTCTCCCTACGGCGGCGCGTGTGGCACGTGAGGCCTTCTCCGGGGGTCTAAAAATTAAGGAAAAATTTCCAAAAATTATTTTGAGCGATTTTGAGATACTTACAACGATCGGTTCAAATTTTTGAACAGCGGAGAGCTCGAATTTCAACTCGGCCGAATCTTTGACTGCTCCACCTCCTCACGCGCCGTCGTCGACGGCGAACAAGGTTGACACCGACGGACTCGCAACGACACAAGGAACACGATGGTGCAGGAGGTGTCGTAAACGGAGCAACGATTGGCGGTGAATTTAAGATTTTCCCGGCGATAGAGCTAACAAAAACGTCGAGACTTTGACTGTAAATTCTCGAAGTTTAGCAGCGTTTCGCTTTAATTAAATTGAAGGATTTGTTCCTCGCTCGATGATGAACACAACGGTGGTTTCAAAACGACAATCGGAATTCGGACGACGTCTGGATCTAAGTCGGAAACCGGCGTAGGGGGAAGGGAATTTGGGAGCAATTGAGGTGTGGTTTTCTGTTTTGAAACAGAAACCACACGTATATAACATATAACCCCAAACTTACCTAACTTTTTTGGGTAAATTCAGGGCTTAGTCCCTGAATTTTCTTTAACTCTAAAACAAGCTCCAAGTTTTAAAATCTTTCAATTTAGTCCCTAAATTTTTGCAAATTTTCACAATTAACCTCCAATTTAATTAAATATTATTTTGTAAATATTCGGGTTGTTACAATGAACAACCTTTGGAAACTCACAAAATATGTCCAACCACATACATGCACTGCCAACATCCTGAATCAAGATCATCGTAACTTGGATGTGCACGTGTTTTCTAAAGCCTTCACTTCGCTGTTCAAAGCAAATCCATGTGTTACGATTACGACATGTATTGATTTAGATACATCGTTATACGAGTACACAATTGACTACCACAAAACATGGTATGCAAGGTATCTGGTCAAACAAAAATTGTTCGGACAATGGGAGGAATCATACAATGAATTGCGACCATGGTTTAAGCTGATGCAGAAACACATTCCGGGAACAGTTGTGAAATTGGAAACAATCTCGGTGTACGAAAATGATTGTGTAGTACAAGGTATCTTCCAATTATATGACTCTTTTGGACTTTTCCGCAATGCATTAATGCATTCCAACACTGCAAGACGATGGTTCAAATCGACGACACTTAGTTATATGGCTGATATACTCAAATAATGTTATTGACGGTTACACAATATGGCAACAGAAAAATTATTCTCATCGCCTTCGCAATTGTCGAAAAGGAATATATCGACTCTTGGGAATTCTTCCTTGTGAACTTAAAAAAATATTTTATCACATGTGATGTAGGATAGAGATGATTGAATTTGTCTTATTATACAGGCGTTGGTATCAAATATGCACTCCAGCGTATGAGTCTGTCTTGTCAACCCCCAATATTTATCATTGGTACTATTTACGACATATTGTCGCAAACTATTTGAAGAAGTTCCAAAGTGAATATGAGCGACTAATGGTGCTTCGACTGGTTACGTCTTTCACCCTTTTCAGTTTACTATATATTTACAAAAGTTATTTCAAATTAATTGTTTCATTTTTATTGATAGATCACAAACAACATGTACGTGAGTTTGAGGACCTAGTGTAAAAATGGCTCTAATCATTTGATCGGGTAAACGGTATAGTCATATGACAACGAACTTGGTTGAGGCAATAAATTCATCACTAAATGCAATGTGACATTTGTCTATCACATCCGTTGCCAAGCGACATATTATCGATTGACAACCATTTTCACAACCTTGGGAAGGAAAGCAGTTTACTGGATGGAAGATGGCCACCAAATCCATGCAGACCTCCTCAGAAAATTGTAAACATTCCAACAGCATTCCAACGCGATGAATGTCATATGCTTCTCTCGCGAAATGCCATTATTCCGTGTATCAGAATTTTCAAGGCTATTGGAAGATATACAACACAAAACATACGTGGTTAATTTACAAGAAAAAACATGCGAGTGTGGATTCTCCAAACTTTCAAATACCCATGTACACATACCATTATTGTTGCTTCTTCTATTTGGATACCCTACATGTGATTCGTTGATCGAGTTTACTTACTTGAAACTATATTCAAGGTTTATGAATATGATTTCTCTCCCATTTGAAATGAATGAGATCCGGATGAAGCTGGTGATGAACCTATAATACGGCCAGATTATGCACTATGACAAAAAAAAATTGGTCGTCCACAATCAACCCGGATTTTTTGTGATGAGAATTTGGTTGAACATCAAGAAAGAACCGGACAACCGAAACTATGTCTATATGTAGGAATATCAGACATACGAAGAACAAATGTCTCAATCACTCAAGCCCACGTATCAATTAAATGAGTTTTTTATATTATTTCTTTTTAAATTAACAAAAATATTACTTAGTTTTCAATTTATTTTGATTTCTTCATGCACCAAATCATACATTCCAACATCTTCCAACATTATTTTTACCTCCATTAAAATATCTCGTATGTGGCCAAATTAGCTTCAACACAAATGTAAGTTGCAATATTATACCTCTAAGCATATAAATTCTGAAATCACTCCTATTTACAAGCGAGAAATATAACTTCAATATGTCTAAAAAACCATTTTTTTCTTCTTTCACAAAACTATGATTTATAACCATTTTCAATGTCATTTTTACCCCGCTTAAAATGTATCATATATGATGATATTATACTCACCTTAAAGATATATTGCAACACTACGCGTTTATAATTAAAAATTAAAATAAATTTCAAAATATATACTTTTCCCTTAGTACCTAGCGGTTTACAAGGCGCGAGATTGTTGTTTTCAAAAAATTAATACAATATTTTATTTATAAATTTCAAAATATATTATACTTATAATATTATTAATTATTAATTATATTTAATATATTATACATATAATTTTTCATTATTTCAACATTTACAAAATATATTATAATTATTATTTATAAAATATATATTTTAATTACTATATTTATTTATTATATTCAATATTATTAATTATTATTATATTTATTTATTATTAATTTCAATTTGAAAGATCCTCACACGTTGCAGGCCGCGAGTATCTCGCGATATTTTAGTTCTCAGACTACCTCGTACTTCGAAATACGCAAGGTCATTTTATCTAATTATTTTATTAACTTATCTGAAAAATTCGAGTGTATCTCGTGTATTGTAAAGTGCAACGATTTAACACACTATTTACAGGTCGCGAAATCTTCTATGTGAACGAATTAAGAATTATTCTTTCAAATAATTTATGAAATTTCATATTTCTTTAAATAATTATTTATTTGAAATTTTTAATAATAAGATGTCTTTGATTACAAAAATTGTATCTAATAATAAATACTAGTAGTATAAATAGAGCTTTGGTATAAGTGCGAACGGAAAGTAGAGATCAACTCAGTCGTCTTGAAAATGTCGACGAAGATTGGACGGAGATTTGAAGGCAAAGTTGCAATCGTCACTGCATCCACTCAAGGCATCGGCTTCGCCATCGCCGAGCGTCTCGGCTTGGAAGGAGGCTCCGTTGTTATCTCTTCTCGCAAACAGGTCCCCCCCCAAATCCTCCCAACTCCCAAGCTACAACGTTTAATATTTGACCTTTTTCCCTTCTAAGAAATAATAGGTTTCAACTCATGTTCTAGGTCTTTCAATAAATATTCAATTTTATGATTGATGATTTGTTGGTTTTTTAAGGTTAACTATTTACCCAGATCAGTTTGTCCGTCTACGGAATTCTGAAATAGGAGATTTCTATTGCAACCTTAAGATTTTCACATTGAACATCGAATTCTGTTTTTCTCCAAACTAGTCAAAATGCTAAAATTTTGTATTTTATTATTCGTCCTAAATAAAAGGACAGATCATGGATGTTCACGCTTTGGTTGTGCTTGCAGAAAAATGTGGACGAAGCAGTTGATAAGCTTAAAAACAAAGGACTTGAAGTGGTTGGAGTGGTTTGTCATGTCTCAAATGCACAACATAGGAAAGATATTATTCAAAAGACTCTTGATGTTAGTATATTTATCCCGTCTTTTCCGTTCTTAGTAATTATCCCGTCTTGGAAATGCGATGAAAGACAATTGCGAGCTATTTATCTAGCAGGAACATTTTTATATCAGTATCTTCTTCTTATTGTTTGATGTTACTATACTATGTGCTGGTTTTCTTTCAGAAATATGGGAAAATAGATGTGATTGTATCAAATGCTGCTGCAAATCCGTCTGTGGATCCCGTGCTTCTAACCCAAGAATCTGTCCTTGACAAGCTATGGGAAATAAACGTCAAAGCAACTGTACTACTTCTGCAGGTAAATCAATTGGGCAAAGGATTATGCTCAAAGAAGATACAATGGTCTAGGGTAGTGTATATGATTCACGACTCAAAGTGATCATATTATTGGTGTTGCATCATCTGGCTGTATTTCCGGTCTTAAAGTAGGCAGCGGGCTATTCATATCTTGCCATAGCATATTACTTGGTCACATTTCCAGAATCTGTATTTGCTAAACCTTGACAATGGTGTGAGGGGGGGGGGAGCAGGACTTACCTTTCTTTTATTTATCTATTGCAGGAGGCAGCTCCTCACCTGCAAAAGGGTTCGTCTATTGTTTTTATTTCCTCAATTGCTGCCTATCATCCGCAGCCCGCAATGTTTATGTATGGCGTAACCAAGACAGCCCTTCTTGGATTGACCAAGGTTGGTGTTAGAGATGTATTCGGTTATTGTTAATGATTGCTTTTATCAAGAATTCTACAATCTTGAGGTCTTTTTTGTCTTCTAAACATCACATAAACATGTTTTAGGCACTTGCAACTGAGATGGCCCCTGATATTCGTGTAAATGCTGTTGCCCCCGGTTCTGTTCCAACAAACTTTGCAGCATTTATCACAAAAGACGAGGCCGTGGTAAGTAAATGGTGTCGCTTTTAGTTTCGGTTACTCTTTGCTGAAGTGCTGCCCCATGTCTTGTAACGAATTGAAAATGAGTTGGGATATTGCAGAGGAAGATTGCAGAGGAAAGGACCTTACTTCGTAGGCTTGGTACCCCAGAAGACATGGCTGCTGCAGCTGCGTTCTTGGCATCTGATGATGCTTCTTATATTACAGGGGAAACTCTAATAGTGGCGGGAGGACTCCCCTCAAGACTCTAAGGACACTTGTTTTACTTTCTAATAAGCCCTTCCTTTCACACTTTTTTTCCCCCAAGAAGAATAAGCTATGCTTATAGAGATCTCTAATATCCTTTGTTTTTTATTGTTGTTACCAGAAATAGTTCTCTTTAATGGATCATCATTGATGAGGATCAATAAATTTGAATAATTTCTCTTTCAATTGTCTTGAATTGGTCTTCTAAATTGTTATTTTTTAGATAGTTGGAACAACTTTGACGCAGATTGTTTAAAATCTTCCTCTTAAGCGTTGATGTGTCTTTGCATGCACATTACTAGCAGGAAAAGGGAGACTGTATTGGCACTGTGATAATTTGAACCTTCTTTTTCATTCTTGAAATGTATTCTCATTGTGGTTATATATATATATATATTTTGAAAAACAGGGACAACTTCAACATTCTGGTTGTCATCACATGTCAAAAACGACATTGCCGCCGTACGACAACACAAGTTTAGAGATAAAATCGAGAGAAGTTGCAAGTTGATATGTTCAGGGATTAATATAGACAAAACGTCTTTACTAAATTCAAAAGTTGTCAAATTAAAGAACTAGATATTATTTTATCCTAATTTAAAATAATTGTGTTGCAGTAAATTTAATTTCCGAGTTTATAATCGAGAGAGAGAAAGTACATGTATCGAAATAAAATTAAAAAAAAAGCCAAATAAATTTGAAGTATATTAACAAAGAACACCGTCTTGGTTATAATTAATAGTATTAAGCATTGAATTCGATTTCAAACCTTTTGTTCTTCTCTATTTATAAAATTTTAAACAATGAAGGAGGGATAACCATGTTTAAATTTTAGACAAAATAATTATTTTTCGATATGTACCAAAAGTTGATTTTTTTTAGTACCAATATTAACATTAATCTCTTAGGATGATTAAGGATCTGGAACGGACCACACAGTTTATATTTGACTGCTGCTGGTGATATTTTATTAATTTATTTATTTTTAAAATTTTAGAATTCCTACAGTTTTATTCCACCTTTGACTGCTGCTGCTGAGGCTGAGGCTGCGTGGGCGGATGAACCTGGTGTAACACTGGTTGCAGATACCACACCTCATTTTCAAAGAGAGCCCCTTCAATTCAAACGGGGTAGGCTGACTTTGATTTTGAGAAGCATCTAGTCCCTTGTCCTGCCCGGCCTGGGTTTTTTTGTGGACTAAAGTTGGTGTGTCGCTCAAAGTCTCCCTTCTTAGACGTTTTTTTTCGAAATATCATCGATGATCAGTATATTTATTGATCTAACACCGGTCAGATTATATTTTTCGATCTAACACCCGTAGCAGTAAAGCGTGCGCCATACGCTGATTTGGCGCCACGTGGGGTATAGTGCTCCCCCTGTAACGCGCTATATGCTGATTTGGCGTCACGTGAAGTATAGCGCCCCCTAAACCGCGCTATATCTGTGTATCTAGACAATTATATTTAGCGCGGACCTGATCCGTGCTATACCATAATACTGCGATGTAGGTACCGCGCCTTGTATGACTATATATACCCTTTTCCCCCGGCTATGTTCCTCACATCTCTCCTCTCAACTTATAAATTAATACAATAATTTTGGCAATCTTTTCATATTTAGTTTAGAAGTTCGTGCGATTTTTCGTTATAAGGTAATTTTGTTATAATTTTTTTTATTATACTTATTATTTATTATGATTATTTGAAAAAATATTATACTAATTATTTTCAATTAATTTTTATGTTTGTAAAATTGAAAAGCAAGAGTATACGTCTAAATAGTTTTACGGTGCAGGTAATAATATAAAATTATATTACTTAAATTATTTACGTTGATGTGTAAAAATTTATTGTGTTATATTTTCGTTCATATATAATTTATTTAATCAGGTTTGTTTCAGTTATTTTTTTGCAGATATAATATTGCCGCACTTTTAAACTCAAAGAATGACGCGACTTTCAGCTATTGTTTATTATGATGGTGAAATTCGAGAAGATGAAACTGGCGTTGTTTTCGTATCAAATAAACGTGTTAAAATATCATTTAAGAGAAACATAACTCTTGATGAGCTGATAACGAAGATTTCGAGGAAGATTCATGTTGGAAGTAGTAGAAGAATGTCGTCGTTACAGTATAAATTTTCAACATTATTGTTGCCATTAACTTATACAGCGTTCGAACTTTTGAACAATGATGATGTTGAAATGATGGTTGAAGCTCAAAGTAATTATTCAGACGCCGCTATTGAGATGTTTGCACATTTTGTTCAAATGCTTGCTGTTCGGGTCAATCATTAAGCTCCCACTATGGGCTGGCTGAACAAGTTGACAGCCCGAATACAGTAATGCGTAATGATTTTAATACCATAATGGGGAGACATTCATCCGCAACTCCTTACGATATGTACCGAGGTGGGTCCACGAACAATTCGTATGGCAACACCGCATCCAGTTTAAGGGGAAGGCATTCATCTGCAAATTTCTTTGACTATATGAAGATGTCATCGACGCAACCATCTATGCAGTTTTCATTTGACACGATGGCTTCAAGCTCCAAGGGAGGCATTCGACTGTGAGCTTTTTCGATCTCAATGTCGATATGCCTTCCAGTTCAAGGGGAATGCGTGCAAGTAGTATGTTCTTCGACCTAAATGTGGAGAACATGGAGGAATCATCATCTCCACCAGAAGAACCGCTTCGTGAGCCTGGTGAGGATGATGCTGAGACTGGACTATTCATTCACCCAGAATCACCGTAATTTAACTCTGATGATGATGAAGTTCCAGGAAATGTGGCACAAACTGACCCTCCTGCACACATGTATGAAGCTGATTATGGTGCAATGTACGGGACAGAATTTGCGGATATGCCTCATCTCGGTGACTATGGATATTACTCATTAACAAATAATGGTGAGTTATCTTTAGGCATGGAGTTTTCAAGCAAAGAAGAAGCGGTGATGGCTATAAAAAAAATTACAATATCCGTAGTTCTGTTCAGTCCAGAGTAAACCGATCGACGACCGAAAAATATGTATGTTACTGTGCCCGACGCGAAAACGGATGCAAATGGATGGTTCGCGTATCGAAAATGAAGAGAAAAAACAACATATGAGAACTAACAATATACAACGGTCCTCACATATGTTGTACTGGAAGGGTCAACCAAGTTCATCCCAACTTGGACTCTGAAGTGATATGCCAAGCCATCATTCCCATGGTAAAAGCAAGCTCTCATATAGTTGTTGCAGTGTTGATTTCAGCTATACAATCACAGTATGGGTACACTGTCTCCTATAAAAGAGCTTGGTTGGCAAAACAAAATGCCATTTTCAAACTTCATGGCGAATGGGATACATCTTACAACGAACTTCCAGGCTGGTTTAGGCTGGTGCTGAAGTTGAATCCTGGGACAATTGTGGACTTCGAAACCTCCTATGCATACCTTAATGATTGAGTTCTCCGCGATCGATGTCAATTCTACCGAGTTTTTTGGACTTACCCACAGTGCGTTAATGCTGTCAAATACTGCAAGCCTGTGATCTAGATCGACGAGACTTTCTTGTATGGAAAATACAAGCAAGTTTTATTATTGGCAGTTATCTAAGATGGAAATCGTAACATTCTTTCAGTTGCTTTTGCTCTTGTCGAAGGAGAAGATACAGATTCTTGGGCTTTTTTCCTCAGAAATTTACGTGCACATGTTATCACGAGGGAAAAAATATGTGTCATTTCTGATCGCGGAGCTGAGATCAAAACAGCAATAGAGTCTTTGAAACACCCGAACCCGTACCCAACTCGAATAGAGTCCGAGGTGTCACTTTGACTTTTCAAACTTTGACTCTTAAAGAAAAACTCCGAGAATTTAAAACTTTGTTTAAAACAAAATACGTTAATTAATATAAAAGAGACCACAAAATACCAACTCGATCAGAGTGCTCATAATTAACGATTATTACATGCAACACTCTATACACAACAAAATACCTACTTTGTCGATTACTTCTGATCTGATCTTCTAGTAATAATATTATCCTTGCTACTTCTATTCTTGTTCTTCTCGTTTCTTGGTACCTACGTGTAAATCACTTACACACTAAGTCATTGACTTAGTGAGTCAATAAATAAATATGTAACAGTAGATTCATGAATATGCATTCTTACCATTTGATCATGATATTTCAATATGCATGTATATATTCATATGATATATATAACCAAGTCATGCATACATGAAACTTACCTTTTTGCATCACTTTCACTTTAATTTATATTTCAATTGCCCATGTATATTGTTGTTGAGAACAAAGGTATATGAGTACATTGAGGTTGTGCACTAATGTTGTCACCACAGCTCGTATAAATTCCCTCATGGGCACCGAACATTTGTTCAGTATTCGTCACGAAGGACTGTTATATATGTCCTGTAGAACCACTACGTCCCAAAGGACTATGTCCCGAAGGACTACAATACCCTCAACTCTTGGCATGCCAACTATACCTATAGCTCTCGTATCATATACTATGGGCATTTACGATGAATACATTTCTCATCACTTGTTCTTTCTTTTCTGTCACATACCACATTTATGTGTAACCATGTATTTCATATTATATCACATAGCTTATCTCATTTCACATTGGTCATGTCTCATTGCATATATCACATATGCATATAATCATGTATATCATATCATATATCTTATGTTTTATGCTCTTATGTCTATGCATATCATATAACATATATAATAACCTATACCCATTTCATGTATTCATGCACATATAAGAATCGCAAATTAAATAACATTTTAGGAGTCACTTCTTACCATAGTAACTCCATCACTAGCTCATCGCAAGCCAATGTTCGTTCAATAATATAAGTACAATTAAAATTGCACTCACCTTAGCCTTATTTGCTTTGATTCGATCCTAATCCTTTGATTATTCCAGAACTTGTTTAGACTCAATATCTACATAAATATAACATTTCAAAACAAGTATTAGAAGCCTAAACCTTAAACTTGATGTTAACAACTTAAACCAAATTAAAGAACCAAATTCCATTTTTCATTTAGGGGGAATCGATACCCCCTGAGCATACTGGAATTTTTCATTCAAGAGGGGGTATCGATACCCCTTCATAGGGTATCGGTTCCCTATGCACAAAAAAATCATCAATTCTTCACTCAATTCTTCTA